GAATCAATGCATCTTATAACCCGAATTTACTGTACAAGAAGGTGGTAAGAGTAGCAATCCTAAAACTAGGACCCTAAGACACTATCTTAGGATGACCCCAAGTCGAGTGTTTAGGAGATGAAAGAAGCGATTGACAAAGAAAGAGAAATAAGAAGATGGTGAACTAAAAATAAAGATTTAAAACAGTAATGGTTTAAAGAAGAGAAGTTGAAAGGTATGGATGTAAATGTAAGGAAAAATGGGCGGATAGAGGTAATGTGAGATTAAGGGCAGATAGAGGTTGGTGTGTGCTAGGGATGTGTGAAGGTCTACAGGTGCCACGCAGGTAAAAGCTAGGACGTGTTAGGGGCAGGCACAAGTTGGTGTACGTTAGATGTGTGCAGAGTGTGTGAGATGGGTTAAGTGTGGGTAGGGGTGTGCTAAGTGATGGCGTGAATGGTGAGTGTTGGATGATAGCACGGGCAAGGGTGTAGGTGTAATGGCATGGGAAGGGATGTGGGTGTGATAGTGCAGTTAGGGATGAGAAAGACGATTGTAGGCGCCAATGTGAGAGGTAAAGGGTGCGAGAATGTGAGGGTGTAAGGGTAAATACTAAACGCGAGCATGGGTGAGAGGCAGTGAAGGCATAGAGGAGTGTTGGGCGTGGGTGCGGGCGAGGGCACGAGAGATGGACGCTGTGGGAGTGTGAAGCTGTAAGGGTACGGGAGTGTGAGCGTGTAAGGGTAAATACTAAGAATGGGCATGGGTGAGAGGGAGTAAAGGCGAGGGCAGGAGTGCAAGGGGACGAGAGTGTGGAGGCGCTGGCAGGAGTGCAAAGGAAGTTAAGGCATAGAAGGCATGAGAGAATGTTGGGAGCAACCATTAAACAAGGGTGGAACACTCAAAAGTACCTAAAATTGTAAAAAAAATACACATTTAATGAATTACAATAATAGTCTCATATTTGGACCAAATGACCAAAATACCCCTAAGCATTTTTCAAAAATGACAAAACCGTCCCTCCATGAGGGGCCTCTTGCTATTATTAGTCTTCATGAGTTTTTCTCAGACATCTATAATGGTAATTCGGGTGATCAATCGTCGTAGAATCGATCGATGCTTGAACTATTGTGAACATTTGATACCCTTTGATCGTCTTGAAATAGATTGTTTAGGAAGAACCCAAAATCCGGCCAAGTCAATAAACTTTGCAATTCTTCAACCATCAATATGATTATAATCTATGACATTCCAAATCTTCATTTTCATCACAAATCAAAGAGGACACTATCACAACCATTTTGCAGTAAATGTCATCTGTTTTGGTCTCCATTTGAGCGTATTCCAAATTTGGGAAGTCACTTGAAAATAGGATTCCAGTGATCAAAAAAGTGTCATCTTCGACCACAAAATTCGTGTTATCCGGCCTTCGATCATACATAGAACTTGTGCCTAACTATAGCTCTTCGAAGCACGGTCTTAATGGACCCATACTTGCGACCATCCAACATTGGGATCTTCAGCTATGCCTCCCAAAGAATTGGATGTTCTCTTATATAAAATCTGAATTTTCATGTTTCTGTGCCCATCTTCTCTCTAGAAATTCTCTCATTTCAGGTCACGTCATGATGCATGCCTTATGTCAAAACGATCGGGTTGTCAAGATCTAGCTCGTGTTCAAATTTGAGCTTAACTAGACTCAAAACGAGCAAGTTATGATCATTTGAAAATCTTACCAAAATGCTAAAACACTAGTTTGTTGTGGCTGCACCGCAATAGTGTAAAACCCACCCTTTTATGGTACATTAGGCCAAGAATGGTCATGGAGGGTCCGATTGAGCCAAAATTTGATATTTAGGGGTTTTTGATGTTCTTAATGTAATGGCAGTGGTCTGGTACTGTTTAGAGACTCAAAAAAATAAGGTTGTAGTTGTATGGTCCATTTTTAGCATGATAGGAACTAGATCTGAAAATCAAGTTTCATCCTGATCATGTCAAAACTTATCAGAACGTGACGAAACTTTCTATGTCTCCATAGGATATCCCAAACTACCCTCTCGTGTAATTTGAAGCCATTCTGACACTTCTTTAGAGGTCGCCCAATTTTAGGCTTATTATTAAAGTGCTCCAGTGGTCTGGCGGTATCTTTGGTACCATTGAGACCAAGTTATTACTAACTCTCTCCTTATTCGCATTAGGAATATAAGTACATCAAAAATGATGTATAACAATAACTTGTATGTTAGTAGGATGAGCTATGCTCTTAATGTTGTTTTTGGATTATATTTAAGTAGTATTTTATATACAGGGGCACTCTTGATAGATACACTTACATAAGTGTAGAAGTGAGGCCGCTTCCTATGAGATAGACTCGTCTTTAGAGTACTTATGAAATCGGGATATAATTATAAGGCCCAAAACGTGCTGGCAACTAAAAAGACACCAGGATTGAATATTGTTTGTGAGTTATACTATCGGTCTGTTAGATAAGCAACCTACTTCAAAGTTATACACTACCACGATACTTGATGGACTTTGTAATGTACACTCTAAGTGAAATTTTAAATCGAAAGATACTTTCATGGTATGCAAATAATAAGTTTCTTATTTTTTCTTATTATTTTGAAATAGTGGAGGAAATTGTTAGTATTTTTTGTTTGAAAAAATGCTTAAGTGTATTTCAAAACAACTTTGATTTTATTGTTCTTTCCTAATTGCTTTGTAGAGAGAGAAAGATGTGGGTTTGAGTCCTATATTGAAGAGGATAGAGTTTATTGAGTTGTATTTAAGAGCACACATTTCCATACAATAAACTATAAGTACAAAAGAAAGAGAAGGTGCATGTACAGAGCACGCAAAGCATGCGACGTGCACACGCGCATGCATGTGCGTGTGCACAAACGAGGGCAAGAGTGCAAGGGTGCTTGATGGCGCACCTTGCACTTCGCACACTTACATTGGTGCATGAGGTGCCCCTCGCACGTGTACAGGTCAAGCTCATGGCTCATTATATTTTTATGATCCCAGCTTGTAGAGGGATCCAACGGTCATCTAGTCGGTAATACATGTGGGACATCCAATGGTCATCTAAGCATCGACGCATGAGGCGCCCCTCGCCGAGCACGTGTGAGTAGTGCTCGTGGCTCATTATCTTTTTGTGGGCCCGACTCATAGGGGGATCCAACTGTCATCTAGACATTAATACGTATGGGACAGATAACTGTCATCTAGTCGTTGATGTATGTAAGACATCCAGCGGTCATCTAGCCATTGATGAGATGGAAGCTAGTAACAACAGCCTTCAAGTGCATGTAACTTGTAGCTGTTGAGGTGCATGTAAATGTAACTTGTAGCTGTTGGGTGGGGCATGTAACTACCTCAATACTAAACGGGTAGCCTCTAGGTGCTCTTTAAGAAAGGGCCTCGTACCCATACGAGCTGTACACTTAAAACAATTTTTTAGCCTCTCAACAACACATTATTATCTGCAATTCCAACAAGCAAACTAGTAGGCCAACTCTCTCTACTCGATTTTGTCTCTTTCTCTCTCTGAACTATCAAGACTCTGGTGTTTAGTGTGTGGGTTCCAAGCTCAGGTGCATAAAGCTTAAGAACATTGTAAAAGACCTATTTGTTGCCCTTCTTATGCACATCAAATACTATAACGAAGGGGGCAAATATCATCTTGAGATAGCGCTCCTGCGTGCCCGAAAGCAAGAAGAGTTCGAGATCTAATTTTTAACCTCCCAAAAATGTTAGGATGAAAACCGGCTAGAATGACCACGAACCGACCGGTTGTATAGCTAACCGAGCGATGCTTTAGCTAACCAGACCAATTTGTTAAAAAACATTGAAATAACAGAAATAACATCTGTTACATAACAATCCACCGTTATTTGTAGCAGTGACCGATATATTATAAAGAACCTATGAGTCTTCGTTTGATTTGTTTTTAATTCATTTTTTTTTATTTTTTCAACATTTTTCAAACTTTTCCAATCAATTATTAATTGAAATTATTGATTTAATTATATAAAACGACCGATTGCAACAGGAAACACATCGAAAATTGATTATTTTTTTGTGGCCTTTTCTTTTCATATTTTCAAAAAAATCTGCCATATTGGCATATTGTGGCCTCGTTTTTTGGAATTTTATCAATCAAAATATATGGCTTTTATAGATAATATAGTTACTCAGTAGATTCTACTCCTAATTTAATACAAAATCTGAGATTGGGAACTCGATTTTATATGATTAGGGCGTCGACTCAGTTTTTCTGAACTAAGTTGAAAGAATTTGCCATACTACATGTTGTGGCCTCGTTTTTGGATTTTTATCAATCAAAATCTATGGCTTTTGTAGATAATAGAGCTAGTCAGTAGATTCCACTTTTAATTTCATTGAAAAACTGAGATTTGGAGCTCGATTTTGAGTGATTAGGTTATGGACTCAATTTTTCTGAACTGAGTTGAAAAAATCCTCCATATTCCAGATTGTGGGCTCATTTTTTTGTTTTTTATGAAATAAAATCTAGGGCTTTTGTAGACCACAGAGTTAATCAAAAGATTCAAGTCCTAATTTCATTGAAAATCCAAGATTTGGTGATCGATCTTGATAGATTAGGGTATCAACTTAGTTTTTTCTGAACTGAGTTGAAAAACATCCTCCAACCGCTCGATTTTGTGCTCGATTTGGTGATCAATTTTTACAGCTGAGATCACAGATATGAATTTCATTTGACTTTTCATTTAGTATTTTTTTTAGAGAAAATTACATAAATATCCATTATACTTTACGTTATTACGGATACACCAAATAGTGTGCGTCATTACACAGCTATCCGTTTTTCACCTTTCATAACGCTATTTTTTAAAAAGATAATTTTGCCCATTTTTGGATATTCAACATCCGAATTTATAAAATTTTTGGATGTTCAACATCCGAGAAAAGGCTTGAATAAAAACATTCAATTTACTATTTTTGGATGTTGAACATCCGAAAATACGTGATAGTGTATTTCACTTGGTCTTCTCAAAAAAAATCAAACCACCGTATACCTTTTTGCCACTGGATGTGTAATACCCAGGACTCAAATGACCACCAGATGGAGAATGAAGGTCCATGATTCGATCTTTAGGCAAAATAAGGCCTGTATACACTGCAAAATTTGCTGAAGTCCATGAATAGGCCTGAACATTAACACCCCATTTCTCAGAATCCAAGTCAAAAGCAGCTAGCGCTCTTTCACAACAGAGAAGTTCGATTTGATCGATGAATTGGTTTCCCCCATAATACTTAGCACCAGGCAAACCCTCTGAATACTTGTTCGTAAGGTGACTCCCTAAAGCTTCTAGAATAGCTTGACACACAAAATTCTCGGAAACCCTCTGAATCCCTTTCCATTGTCTCTGCTTCTCCTTCTCCATGAGAGCCCATAGATCAGGATCAATCGTGGCTAAAGGTTGCTTTCCCCAATCCCTAACTGCCATTCTCCTGGCTTCTAAATCCATAGGCGATGATGAACATGATTCATGTTGGTGCCTTTTCTGAGCAGAAACCACAGAGCCCTCCCTGTCTCTTCTTCTCTTCAAGTACATGGCGTAACCCAATATGCTGAATTCTTCTTCTTTCTGTTCCTCCACTTTTGTGTCTTCCACACAATTGCCGGAATTGCTATAATCAGATTGCTCAAACAGCTGCAATGGTATCGAGGAAGCAGAATTCGATGACTGATCATTTGGATGTTGAACATCCAAAAATGGGCAGCGTTGGCGTTTTTTTAAAATGACGTTATGGAAGATAAAAAACGGATAGTTGTGTAATAATGAAACTATTTGATGTAACCGTAATGACGTAAACTATAACGGATTTCTTCATAATTTTTTCTTTTTTTTAATATAATTTTTTAGTTGCTCGAGTATTTGTTCACCACTTTATTTTACTAAAAAATTAATTATGCAAAAAAGTATTTTTTAAACTTGAAATAACATACTCAAAATGCCTTGTTTGTAAACATTATAAGCTGGTTCCCATTTTGATTTTTTTTAAATGATGGGTTTTAGTTTTTATTGTAAAAAATGAACGTTTCTTTAAAAAATTATACATGTTTTTTTGTACTCCCTGCCCCTTGAATGCAAACTATTACCTCTTTTGGCTGTAATATCCTCAATCATATTACTGAACTATATGTAACGTAAGTGCTCACGTCAAGTAAATGTTTTGATCGATTTCGATTGAATCTCGTGATTAATTTACATGGAAATTGACCATTTGTGCTGCTGCTTTTATATAAGGAAAAAAAACCAGTGTTCTTTTTGTTAGTTTGATCTAGTGATTTAAAAAATGGATGGGCGGCCCAGATTGGGCATCCCAAAAATACATCCGGATCAGTGGATTGACATTTTGGATCGAGAATTGATAAGATTCAACATTAAACAAAATTTAAGAGAATTATTGAAAATCAGTACAACTATTATTTTTTAAGAATCCAATAAAAAATGAGCGTACTACATTAATATCTTTTATTTTTTACATCAATAAGCTAATATCGAGATGTTCTTTCCTTGTATGAAGATTTTCATCAAACATTTATTAAAACCTAACTAATTACAATATTAGACATTGAAATTAGAATTATTGGTTTGTATTTTATTATTTTATCATCACTTTACTGTACAAATAAGAATAAATTTGAAATTTGTTTTATAATACCATATAATTTAAAAATCTAATTTACAACTATAACAAAAAATAATACATTGCATAATATACATAATAAATAGTACCTAATATTTAACATTGCTTGTAAATATAGGGTTCTTTCCTACTTATTTATTATTTTCTTTTTTTGAAATTTAATTTAGTATTTTTTTAAAATAGCTAAAAAAACTAGAAATCACAAAAAAAAAAAAAAAAAAAAAAGAAACAAAAACAAAACAAAACAAAACAAAACAAACGAAACAAAACAAAAAACAGAAAACAAAAAACAGAAAACAAAAACAAAACAAAAAAAAACAAAACAAAAAAAAACAAAACAAAAAAAAACAAAACAAAAAAAAACAAAACAAAACAATACAAAACAAAACAATACAAAACAAAACAAAAAAAAACAAAACAAAAAAAAAAAACAAAACAAAACAAAAAACAAAGCCTAAATAGTAAATTGATAATATACATAATACAAGACTACCTAATATCTCACAAAATTATTTTAGATATTCAAGATAAAATTAATTATCATCTACAAAAGCTCTCAAATAATTAATAGTGCATCAAAGTTCATTTAAAAACATTAAACTTTTAGAGTTTGTGTAGTAACTTTATGTTAAAAATAATATGAATTTTTTGTGGAGATTTTTCTAGTCGAGATTGAACCTTGATTCCAACTCATTTAATAAACTCTACAACCATTGTTTATCCCAACATATATGGAGTCAATCTAACACCATTTAATAAATTTTTCAACCATTATTTATCCCAACACAATTACTATTACTTATCCCAATATTTATACGCTCAATAAAGCACCACTTAAATAACTCGTTAACCATTATTTATCCCAACACAGTAGCAGCGGCTAGAGAGAGACTGATAAAGATATCCCACATCGAATATTTGGAAGAAATCATAATTTAAATTTAGTAGAATGGTGAGATCACGCGTGCGCGGTGTGGGATTGAGATGGCGTGCGACATGTGTTAAGGTCATATACAATGCACGTGGTGGATGGGCTTCGCAATTAGGACTTTTTGGGGTAAGTCAAGAGACTCGTTTAAAGCAGTTGTGGCTAAAAAAGAGGCGCGTAAGTAGATGAGTCACATTTGTTACACAATCCATGATGTCACGTATACCGAATCTCAATAGAAAACGGTCGAATCTTGTTTTATGGCCGGACGGACTGGCCGATACCCGGTTTCATATTGGATCGTAGAGTTTTTAAACACTGGTTTGATCAAACATTTCGCATGAAAACAATCGAATATGATATATGATTATTTAACTTATCCGGATCACCTGAGTTTTGGATCGAATCATCAATTTTTTAAACACTTGTTTGATCAAACATTTCGCATGAAAACAATTGAATATGATATATGATTGTTTTCAAAGCATTTGATTACATTTGTAGTAGATTAATGATCCTTTCGGATGGTGTATTTGATCAATAAAGTTATTTCAAAGCTTATCAAATGGTTACTGCTTTATTAGCAATAGCAGTGGTGTCCCAGAAAAAATAGTTTGTCAAATTTTGCTTGTTAATTATTGACTAATATGTTATTGGTTTTCTGAACAAAGTATTGATCTAATTCATCTTGAGAGACAACCTTTAGTTTATAATGTCGTATTCTATTTTTTAATAGAAGATAAAATCTTTTTTGGGGTAATTAGATGTTTTGGGTATGCACTATGTTATCAGTGGATTTTTTTCTTATTCTGTGAGGTCTATATCACTAAAGAGATTTATATGCATGAATGACATGCTCGTCAGTACGTCCATGTTCCCCTTTTGATAATTCACATATTTTCACGCATATCTATATCATGTGATTAACTGTTGGAGGGATTGCGTACTTCTTATATATTAGCGACTTAGGGACAAATGTCCAAAGAGCCTAATTTTATACTGTTGAAAATTTTGAGGGAAGAGATGGACCCACTTTTAGGATTAGTGGCAGTGTCCTGAGATTATCGATCGTAAAGATCAAGTTTTTACCAGAACTGTGAGAATTTTGTAAATTTGTGTGTACTTCTCCATGGCCATGAAACCCTTCTTAAATAGCGATGGAGGAGGCCGTTCTCCAACGTTCGGCTTCCGCCTGAAATCTCTGAGAAAACGTAGCCCTGTAATCTTGAGAAGTGGGTGGTTACTTTCTAACTGTTAGATAACTGCACTTTTGTTCTCCAAAAAGCCTCATTTTTAGTGATAAGTATTAAATTATAAGAGAAATAAATGTTGCACGTTTAAAGACCCCATGGCCACACACATGCACCAACATCTTCCACTTGGCTATGAAGGTCAGATATATTATCATAAAGTCTTTACCACTTAATGAATTTAACATTTATGTGCATATTTTTGTGATGAGGCTTTCACGCAAGTGCGATTATATAACAAAAAAAATATACAAAGTCATGCCATGGTTTTTCACGTTGATGCGGTTTTTCCTCTCATGGCCAAGACATCAAAAAATATCCTATTTGGGAGTTCCTGACTTAAATATTTCTAAGTCTCATCAAAGCTACACTCTTTGATAATATTTCTGTACTCAATCCCTTTGTTAAAGGGTTCACAATCATATCTGAAGATAGCAAATCCCTTTGTTAAAGGGTTCACAATCATTATTTTCAATAATATCATAAATATAATGATAATCAATTCTAATGTGCTTACCTTTGAAACTATAAGCTTCATTTCTAATTGATGAAATAACAGCTTGATTATGACAAAAAAATTTAACAGGTCTGTCGGCTATATCCAGCTTCAAATCATTTATGAAGCGTTTAATCCAGACTGCATAAGTTGTAGCAATGCTACAAGCAATATACTCGGCTTCCATATTATACCGAGCTACACAATATTGTTTCTTACTAGACCAAGAAACAAATCCACCTCCAAAGAGGAATACAATTCCTGAAGTCGATTTTCTATCATCAAGGTCTCTTGCAAAATCTGCATCAGAGTACCTAGTAACCTCTAAGTTGTCAGTTTGGAAGCACAACTTGTAATTTTTAGTTTTTTGAATATATCTGAATATCATTTTTACAGCTTGCCAATGAGTCATCCCAGGATTACTCTGAAATCTACTTACAAGACCATATGCATGACTCAAATCAGGTCTTGTACACAACATGACATAATTTATGCATCCTACAGCTTGAGCATATGGAATTCTTTTCATTTCAGCTTTGTCGTTATCATTTAATGGACACATTTTCTTTGATAATTTCAAGCCTTTACAAACAGGTGTATCTATGGTCTTACAATTTTCTATCTTAAACATCTTTAAAACACTTTCTAAATAATTTTCTTGAGATAAACATAGAAGACATGAACTTTTATCTCTTGTTATCTTAATGCCCAATACATATGAGGCTTCTCCCATATCTTTCATCTCAAAATGAGAACTTAGTCATGAT